GAAATATATGCAGCAAATCATAATCAAATCAACAATGAATATAAAGAGTCGATCAGGTCTCACATTTATAATCTTCGAGACAAAAAGAACCCACTACGACAACATGTACTTTCGGGATCCATCAGTCCAGCCGAGTTGGCACACATGGTATGTACTATCAACCTTATACTCTTTTAATGCGTAGTATGTTCATTCATGATGCTTTCTTTCTAGACAACAAAAGATATGGCAAGTCCCGAACTTCGATTAGAGACAGAGCAACTGCGAAGACGATCGATTGCTGATTCAATGGAATATGACACGATTCAACCTCGGCATCGTGAACAAGATAATCCAGATGAGGATAAGCAATAATAAAGAAAGGGATTTATAAGAATGACGCATGATGGGTGTCAGGGTTACGGAATTCCCGAAACTAAAGTCGGGATGATCACGGACATTTTGCCTTATGCGTCTTACGCGTGTATTATATCAAATGACTCGCACAGTGAATATTGGACAGCAACAAGTACAACTAACGGGAGCTACACCTGATATTGTTGACAAAGTGGTGGCATTTCAGCCATTTCAAGACTGGGTGAAGCGATTGGACAAGGAACAACGTGATCGTCAGAATGAAATGGATATCACTTCAATCGAGATTCAAAGCACCGATGTATTCTCTTCAGACAAGCTTGGTTTCGTCAAGTTCAAAGCCAACGTCAAGTTTAAAGACACTGGCAAGAGTGCACCAGGGATTACGTTTATGGTATATAACAAGTGTTGTAGGATATAGAACAGGCTTTAATTTGTATATGCATTATAGCGAGGTGGATCAGTATCTGTATTGACTATCCTACGATGCAACGATCAAAGCGACAAAGAAGATCAAATCCTATTGACACTACAACCGCGAATTCCCGTAGCAAGTTTGGCGTTTCCAGAAATTCCTGCAGGAATGTTGGATGGTTCTGGCAACTTTTCGGGTACTGCTGCTCGTGAGATTTACGAAGAAACAGGTGCGTTGGGTATTCCCCCTGATTATCAAAAGGAGGGGGAAGAGAGAGAGGATGAATATGTAAGGGGTAAAGGGTCAATGAATGGAGTTAACATGTTGTGTTTAGGCTTATCTATCGAAGAACATGAATTGGTGGATCTGACAGAAAAAGCATATGGCAACCAATGGCAAGGTGTATATCCATCAGCTGGTGGATGTGGTATGTTAAAGATGAAAGAAGACGATGGGGAATGCGTGATAATAATGAACCACTCTTGTAGATGAATTTCTTCGACTCTTCATGTGTATTAAGCATATGAGCCACGCTGATATCCAAAAGTTAGAAGGGAAGCTGACAGGATTACGTGATAGAGGCGAGAATATCACTCTCAAGTTGGTACCATTGAAGGATGCATGGCGAATGGCACCTGATGCCAAGTTATTATCTAGTCTAGCATTATATCATTCACTTAAGGAACAAGAGAATGTAGTCGAATAAAGACAAAGAATATGAACCGCACACGCGACAACAGGCGATAGTTATGCAGGCTAAGGAAACAAATGCATGTCATTGGGGTACCTGCAGTAATGAAATCACCATCGCTCTCTTTTTCTGGATACCACTAATACTACTGCATGCATGCTAGTTGATATAACGTACAAAGTAATGCTCCTGCATATACGTATCATCGATATAAACTAAAGAGAAAGGGGCCAAGTGATATACATGTCTTGATTAGAACCAAAGGAGCAAAAACGCATCCTTTTTCCATTTTTCTTCTCTTCTTTTACTCGTTTGCATGTCAGTCGCTCTTAGTCAACCACAACAACAACAAGCTTCTAGTCGAGATCCATCATCCATGCCATTACTACGAGCGTGTGACAAGTCGACAGATCCATGCACTCCTCCATTGTCTCCTAATGATCTATCCACTTACACCCATGCCAACCCCGATTCCACCGATCTTGTTGATCCTTCCACGCCTCCCCCTTCACGTTCCAGTACAGTTAAAAAGACAATACAGCTATCTCTTACAAGTTATACCACTGCACAGTTGTCAGTAGATAGTAGCGATCAACTTCTATCACCAGCAGATCACAATACTCAAGAACCCAGCAAGGATCATGCATCATCCGACAAGAACAGCATCAAAGATCTTGATCCTTTATCAAGACAATCATCCATATCCACTTCTTCATCCTCTAGTCAAGTAATAACACAAGGAGTTTCCACTGCCGAGAATATGGAGAAACAGCAACAAGAATATGAAACCACGGCACATCATCAGCACACGATATTGCAACACCAACAACGTAAAAAATCTCGATCCCAGCCACGACTTGGCTACGTTGATACAGATGATGAGGATGATGATAGCAAACAGTTGTCAATTGGAACCAGGATAGCAAAAGGACACCGCCATTATACTTTAATGTAAGTTACCATTATTGTTGTAGTAGAACTTTGATTGTAACACAGCATAAACCAATTTAGGTATGACATGTTGACAGGCATTCGAATTGCGGTAAGCCAGTGAATGGATGGTACTTTTTCAATACTAAAACCTTGCTCTTAGGTGGGTCGAGTTTCTGCCAAACTTTGGCGAGATCTTTCCGATCAAGACTTTCGAGCGGCGCATAAGCTGGTCTTTGATGTGTGAGTCTCTTATTCTTTCTCTCCTGCTACGTTTCTTTCCCCCTCCCCCTTTTATGGCGTCAATGGCAGTTATCTTATTTGTCCAAACAAACATGTATTGCTTCTACTTTTAGTACAGGCAATGAGTTGACACCTGGCGTCAAGTACGATTTCAAATTCAAGGACTATGCCCCTTGGGTATTTCGCCATTTACGTGAACGTTTCCGGATAGATCCAGCAGATTACATGGTACTGTGTTATTTCAACATGATCAAACATGGTTAACTGACCACATGCCATGTAGATGTCGTTGACGAACAAGTATATCTTATCTGAATTATCATCACCTGGCAAGAGCAAAAGCTTCTTTTATTACTCAAGAGACTGTCGATTCATTATCAAGACGATCCATCATGTCGAGCATCGTTTCTTGCGTCGAATCCTAAAGCAATATTATAATGTAAGTAACCCCATTATGAATATGAAACTGTATTAACATAACATATCCAATCAGCATGTGTGTGAAAACCCAAACACGCTATTGTCACGCTTCTATGGATTACATCGTATCAAGTTGCCACGTGGTCGCAAGATCCACTTTATTGTCATGGGCAATGTATTTCCGGCAAGCAAGGATCTGCATCTTGTCTTTGATTTGAAAGGTTCGACATTCGGAAGGTTTACACCTGAAGAACGGCTAGCAACCAATCCCATGACGGTGCTCAAAGATCAAAACTGGACTGCACGTTCACAAAAGCTTCAACTTGGACCAGAAAAGAAAAATGTTCTTATCCAACAATTGGAGCGCGATATTGCAGTGAGTGCATAGGATGCAATTGGATGTTATAAATACTCATATGTTTTTATTACCGTGGTAGCTATTGACCAGTATGAACATTATGGACTACAGCATGTTGGTTGGCATCCATGATATGGAACGTGAGAATACCGATGATCCGGAAGATCAACATTTGCACATTGTTAGGGTATGTACTTGTATAAGGGAAAAGGATCATATATGTGCTGATCAACAGGATACTCTAGACCGAACATATGGGATCTGCTGATAGCACTCGACGTGCAAGCAAAGCAACATTCGTACGCAATGCATTGAAGAATACAAATTCAAGACTACTGGACAAAAAGGAGTTGCCGAAGAGATTATCCATGGAGTATGTATCTCAACATTTAGGAATGATGTTTATCATCATCTGGTTACTGACGAGCGAGAGAATAGGCGGAAGCATTGTGTGTTCTATGCAGATGATGGCGGTTTCCAGGCAACGAACGCTGACAACCAATCCGAGAGCTTATTATACTTTATCGGTATCATTGACATCCTCACACCCTATAACAAGCGGAAAAAGACTGAGCATTTTTGGAAAAGCATAACTCAAGATAAGGTAAATATTAAATAGGGATGGGATGTAGTAGAAGAAAGCAGCTTTTAACCTATGATTTGATAGCATACCATATCTTCCGTACCTGCTGGCGAGTACGGGGAACGCTTTATGCATTTTATGAAACATGCTGTGACACGATAATCATCTCGACAACCACCACTCATCACCCATCATCGTACACGTTCATTATGTAGAACACATATATAATCCATTCATCCCTTGGTGCAAATGCCACCATAATCATTACACTCGTTTCCATCCGATAATCATTGCATGCTACATCCTTCAGATAAACAAGCTTTAATCATCTTGCATATTGACACCTGATGAATCTTAATGATATTGTTGACTCTTGTGGATTAAATCTATGCTTTAATCAAAGGTGCTCCTATACATTTATATCCATTCCTGCCATACTATCTACTATAGCTATATTACATAACGATATGCTCTTGGTAGCATAGTTGAACTATGATATGCCTACTGTGACGCAACATTCTTTTGTCTTACAGGCAGCTGGGTGGCCTTCATTCGAATAACGAATTCACAATTGCGACTTGGGCAGCTTTTGCAACACAATCTCAGTTTTCCTCTCAATGTCAAAGTCCAACAGAGCTGTTTCTTATGTTTTTCGCATCCGTTATTGCAATGACTGAAATCGTACTAGTAAAAGCTGACTTGGAAGGTTAAAAAGTGTCAGGCACATTTCTGCTCTTTTTCTACTCTGAGTTCCAAATTCCAGCCAACTTGCCTGTGGACATGTCCGCTTCGTTGTTTGATATCAACAGTGAAATATCCTTTAATGCCAATTGCTACTCATTGTCCTTCCCAAATATTTTGCGAATAATATATTCTTAATAGGCGTGTATTCCGCTGCAGGATGACATACATAACATTGGTCTTATCTGTCGATTTTGTCGAATTTTTTGTTCTATATATGGAAATTTTTTGGCGTGTCAGTTTGTTTCACATTTTCCCCGAAAGTGGGGTAGTAGCTCAAATGGTAGAGCGCTCGCTTCGCATGCGAGAGGTACCGTGATCGATACACGGCTATTCCATTTATTTTGCAGTAACCATTGTCGTCTTTCTGTCGTGATCAAAGATGGCTGCAAAGCAAGGCCAGTACAACAATTGTAGAAGATAACTTTTTACAGTGATAAAGATGATACTTTATTTTTGAATACAATCGACTCTTATATAATACGTATGGTTTCTGGAATCGAAAGGAAAGGGAAAGTAATGGAAACTGTGACCGTATGCTTTGTGATATGTAAAAAGGAATGTTGTAGGAATCTTGTGGAATCACAATGGATCGGGATCATGTGATCTCAGCAAAAGAATAAAGAAGTATATCCGACAATACCCCCTTCCGAGATTATTGGTCGTCCTCGATCCAATC